TTATTGACATATAGTCAGTTTACAATGTTGTGTCAGTTTCTGGTGTACAGCACAATTCTTCAGTCATTCATGAATATGCATATATTTATTTTCATATTCTTTTTCACCGTGAGCTACTAGAAGGTATTGAATATATTTCCCTGTGCTATACAGTATAAACTTTTTTATCTATTTTATATATAATAGTATCTGCAAATCTCGAACTCCCAGTTTATCCCTTCCCACCCTCTTCCCCTCATCTGTATTCTATGTCTGTGAGTCTGTTCCTGTTTTATATGTAAGTTCATTTGTCTTTTTTTTTAGATTCCACATATGAGCGATCTCATACGGTATTTTACTTTCTCTTTCTGGCTTACTTCACTTAGAATGACATACTCCAGGGCCATCCATGTTGCTGCAGATGGCATTTTATCATTTTTTATGGCTGAGTAGTATTTCATTATATAAATAGACCACAATTTCTTTATCCAGTCCTCTGTCAATGGACGTTTAGGTTGTTTCCATGTCTTGGCTATTGTAAATAGTGCTGCTATGAACACTGGGGTGCAGGTGTCATTTTGAATTAGGGTTCCTTCTGGATGTGTGCCTAGGAATGGAATTGCTGTTTTTAGTTCTTTGAGGAATCTCCATACTGTTTTCCACAGTGGCTGCACCAAACTGCATTCCTACCAGCAGTGTAGGAGGGTTCCCTTTTCTCCACAGCCTCTCCAGCATTTATCATCTGTGGACTTTTGAATAATGGCCATTCTGACCGGTGTGAAGTGATACCTGATTGTAGTTTTGATTTGCATTTCTCTGATAGTTAGTGAGATTAAGCATTTTTTCATGTGCCTATTGGTCATTCATATGTCTTCATTGGAGAATTGCTTGTTTAGGTCTTCTGCCCATTTTTGAATTGGGTCATTTGTTTTTTACTTATTAAGTCATATGAGCTGTTTATATATTCTGGAAATCAAGCCCTTGTCAGTCTCATCCTTTGCAAATATTTTCTCCCATTCCGTAGGTTGTCATTTTGTTTTGCTTATGGTTTCCTTTGCTGTGCAAAAGCTTGTAAGTTTAATTAGGTCCCATTTGTTCATTTTTGTTTTTATTTCTATTGCTTGGATAGACTGCCCTAGAAGAACATTGCTGAGATGTATGTCAGATAACGTTTTGCCTATGTTTTCTTCTAGGAGGTTTATTGTGTCTTATCTTCTGTTTAAGTCTTTAATCCATTTTGAGTTTATTTCTGTGTATGGTGTGAGGGAGTGTTCTAACGTCATTAATTTACATGCTACTGTTCAATTTTCCCAACACCATTTGCTAAAGAGACTGTCTTTACTCCATTATATGTTCTCATCTGCTTTGTCAAAGATTAATTGATCAAAAGTTTGTGGATTCATTTCTGGGCAGTCTATTCTGTTTCACTGGTCCATATGTCTGTTTTTGTAATAATACCATGCTGTTTTGATTACTGTAGCTCTGTAGTATTGTCTGAAACCTGGGAGGGTTATTCCCCATTACTTTTAATTTAAAATAACTAGAAAAAAAATAGATTAAATTCAGAGACCAAAAATAATCTGTTTGATGGCATCAGAGAGGCACCCAAGCAGCCAGGACTTGGGGACACAAGATTCAAGGGGAAACAGGCTCCAAGACAAGTGAGCCTGACATTTTGCTCCACTTTTTACCTTAAGGAATTTGCTGCATCCTACACTGAGTGGGAGAGGAAAGCCAAGAAATCAAGCAGAAGGCAGCTGGTCAAAAGCTAAGTAACTCTCACAGAGCTAGAGAGACAAGCTGAAGATCATAGACATAAGAATGAGAAGCCCTAGTAAACACTCCGGGCCTCCAGTTAAGACCAAGAGTAAGGGACAAACTGGAAATAAACTAACCCCCATTAACTCTCAGTTGAGACCCATCTCTGTCCCCGATTGTATAGACAGGATCTTTTCTTTCTCTAACCACTGGCCAGAAGAAAAAAGTTTTCCCTGGAGAAAGATGACATCATCTGGAACTTGTACAATTTCTCACGTACAAAGTCCCACATTTTCGTCATTGCAGCCCTAAGAAGTCTGTCATCTTCAAAGACAATGTGAATTCCACATAAATCTGAACCCCCTTGGACAAGCCCAGGCAGATGCCAAGGGCAGAGCACAGGGACAGGAGAAGGAGCCTAGGTGACTAGACAAAGGCGACGATTTGAAATTAAGTGAGAGCTCGCTGCCTGGAATTTCTCTTTGAAAACAGAAATCTGTCTACTGTGCAGCCAGCACGTGGACTTATGGAGACCCAATGCAAAGAGCACACAGAAGTCCAAAAAGGGATGACTTCCCTTTCAACCAGCGATGAAACTGGCTTCAGTTATTAGAATAACGTAATATTACATATGGAAAGACACTTAAAATTTGTTTAAGCCAAACCTTTAAACTTTTTGCTTACATTGACTGAGGCCCTGAGATGGGAAATGATCCTCCTACATCCACACAAAAAATTGAGTTGGTTCTTGAACACAGACGGCTGAGTGTCCAGCCGGACCCCCTCCCCGCCTCACTGCCTCAGTGAAGCTCAGAGCTCAGACAACTCTAGCCAGCAGCCCACCAACACTGCCAACAGCTTCAACAAGACTATAAATGTCCTGGTAGACGTCAGATGATACATGCAATTTCTCCCCAGCAAAGAGTCCCAATGGCAGAAAACAATGGGATTCCCATGGAATTAAATTCTTCCTCTCCCCAAGGACGCTGCAACAGCTTCCTATTTATAGCGTTGTCCTAATAAATACAAAGGAAGTCATAATTCACTGCTATTATTTAAAGTAGCCGTGTTGTTCTCACTTTTAGAAAGTCACATTGGACAGGATGTTTTCTGTCGAGTAGCAGCTGGTCCTCTAAAAAACTCAAAGCTGGTGCTGCCGCCTCTGCTGTTACCTTGAAAAGAAGAATGGAGCCTCCGAGTTTGGGGAAAAGGACAGCCAACAAAGTGGCTAGAGGGCCAGGCCCTTGCCTCTGTTTTGGTGTCTGGTCTGGATGCTTTGGGCAAATCTCTTAAAAGCAAAATAACATGAACTACTTGCTGAGCTCTGTGCTAAGAGCTGACAAGTATCCTCTCCCATCACCTTCATGACTTTCTTCTGAGGTAGCAGCCAAGGAAATGAAGGTTCAAAGGGCTTTTATTTTTTTAACTGACATATGGTCAGTTACACTGTATTACTGTGTCCATTTCTGGTGTACAGCATAACGTCCCAGTCATACATATATATACGTATATTTGTTTTCATGTTCTTTTTCATTAAAAGTTACTATAAGAGATTGTCAACTGGAATAAATGCACAGCCTAAAAGTTGGGAGTTACGTTTTATTTGGCGGGAGGGAGGACTAGCTCTCAGATGGCTCTGAGGGACTGCTCCCAAGAGGTGGGGAGGAGCGAGGATACATAGGAGCTTTACAACAAAGACGTGGTAGTTGGAACAATAAAAGACTACTTGTTAACTAAAGAAAACCAGGCATCGCAAGTTAAAGAATTTAGTGCTTTTCTATATATGGGAGGAAGCAAACATTTGGGCTCATTGAATTCATTCCTTTGTCAAGCACCTAGCTATCTAGGGCCAGTGTCCTGTCTTTTCTTATTCTGAGTCCCCTCAGAGGGCACCATTGTGAGTGGCTGCAGAGGCCGGGCTGCAGGCCTGTCCTCAGTGAGGGGTGGTGGCAGCCGCTGATGACTTGGTTTCCGCATTCTTTGTTTACTGATGTGGTTGCAGTATTTTTTGTTCACAATATTGAATCTAGTTCCCCATGCTATGCAGAAGAAATTTGTTTGACTTGAGTAGGGTCATTGAAACTGTTATGACAGCTGGAATTCTGACTCAAGTACAGGGTATTTGGCTCTAGAACCAGAATCTTTTTTGTTGTGTTGTGTTTGTTTGTTTACCAATGTCTTGTTGCCTTAGCTCCCTCAACTGCTTGCAAACCCAGTGTCAGCTGGAGCCGCCCATCCCTCAGAAATCTAAATAACCTCAGCTCAGACATCTCCCTAGCCACTGCCTGGGGCAGGACATGATATCTCCAAGTCCTCAAGGGCATGGCTTATCACGGGCCTTTTTGACTTTGAGTCTGCAAATACTGTCATCCCAGATGAGAAACTCGGGTCCTACACATCCAGAGAAGAAAAAAGGAAAATGCAAGTAGGAGTCCATGGGTTTAGTGACCTTAAAAACAACGTGAGAGGTCCCAGGAAGAGGCACAGCTCACAGTTCAGCCTCACCCTCACCCCACCTGGCCAACTGTCTCCTCTCTCTCCTTCCTCCAAGACCCCAAAAACGCCTGGAGTGCAGCAGTTCTGCCCCTTTTCCAAGAGCCTTGAGGTTGGCCAACATTTGTGGGACTGCAGGGACTTCCTGGCCAAGCAGGCGTATCCAACCAAGCATCGTCTCAATAATGGCATAGTTTTCTCTAAACAGGAGTCTTGGGCATCTGCTAAGAACGCAAATCTTTTTGTGTACATTCCATGCAAAATGAAAGGGTTAAGAGAGATCAAAGATGCCCATACTGGGTTCTCTGAACCCCAGGACCATGAACTGTTTACAAAAGCCAGATTAACACCACGCAGCCACCTGCATGAAGGTGCATACAGTGTCAGGCGTCTTTGTTTTAAGCTGGAAGGATATGAGCTCTGTGTAGTATCTGCGGTTTTCTCACTGAATCAAAAACTCTGACAGCAGCTATTTACATTTCTGGTTAATTAAAAGAGCTCACATAAATCCTTCACTACTTAACATTTGACCATTCACTCATTCAATAAACATATATTGATCAATCAGTCTGTGCCAGGCTTAGAGTATTCAGTGCGAAAGAAGATGAAGTCTCTGCCTTCCAGGTGGTGACAGATAGTAAGTAAGTAAGTAAATAAATAAAATTGTCTATTTACAGTAAATAAACAAATAAATTTGCATAATAGTGTTAGAATTCAAAGATACATGACTATGTAAGTCCCCCTTTCGAATCCAGCCTGAAGACTTCTAATTATTTTTACACGTCTTTCTTCAACCGTTTTTAGCTAGAACACATTCCAACTAAGAATGTGAGCCCAGGTGAGAACTGGTGTCAATCTTCACTGGATTTTTGAACATGAAAATATTTCTTTGGGGGATACACGATGCCATTTCAGCAGATGCTACAGGCTGCGCTGAGATAAGACCAGTGCAGTATCTATTTTGCATATAATACAGCTTGGATCTTAATTTAGACCTTGATGCCAAAGTCTTTTTTCACAGAAAGGGAAGAGGGCAGAGGAAGACAGCTCAGAAAGAGCAAAGTTCCTGCAAGTTCCCGGCTCATGCTTTAATCTCCGCAGAAGCACAATTAACCAGGCTGCCCCTTCCCACTGCTTTCATCACCCTCACTCAGAGGGGAGCTTTCTCTGGGCACAGTCAAGGGCTTTCAAAGCTTAAAAGTCGTGGCTTTTCACCAAATGTAGCTTGTCCATTTCCATTTCATTCAGAACATGAAGGGAAGAGATTGCACTTTGCCAAGTGGATAAGAAGTAGGGGGTGGAGGGGATGACAAAAGACCAAGAAGAATCTATATTCCAAGAGCGTGTAAGGAACTCTATGGAGATGTCTAAATGCACAGGACTGTGAGCAGCCTTTTCAGGTTTCACAGACCCATGGAAGGTAGAGCCGGAGGGAATCTTAGAGACTACAAGTCCAATTTCGTGCTTAACATAAAGGAAAACGAAGTCCCAAAAAGGAAAAGCAGCTTTCCTAAGGCCATCAGGTTGGCTGGTATCCAAGGAAGGGCTAGAACCCTGACCGTCTGTATGGTGCCCTTTCTGTCATCAGACTGTTTCCACATTCCCTTCCTTTTATCCTCTTTCATGTTGTCTTTATAAATTTGTTCAGAACATAGAATCCTCCCTTTTGTACTTACCCAAATATTCTCTAGTTTGCAAAAAAAGTCTTTGCTGCATGTCCTGCAAGAAGTTAACCTAGTTATTCTACGAATAATTTCTTCTCTGTTCCCTGAAATAACCACATTTGTAATCTGAGTCACATATTTGTTTGTGTTGTAGCTCACAAGTAAAGGTTTACAATTTAAACTGTCTCAAGCAAAACTAAAAAGGGACAGTTTGTTAGCTGCAAAACTGAAAAGTCCAGGAGTAAAGCTTACGTTAGGCGTGGCTAGATTCCGAGGCTCCAGTGATAGTGTCAAGACTCAACATGGTTTTCTCCATCTCTCTCTTCCTCTGGGTGAGCTCCCGTCTCAAGATTTCCACCTTGCAATGGCAAGATGGCTACCAGCAGCTTCACCTTGAGTCTTGTCCTCTTAACAGCACCAGCAGGGAGCAGATTTCCATCTTTCCCAGCAGTTCTGAAGAATTCCCATGTCGAAGTCTCACTGGGTCTGATTTGGGCACATGCTTGTTTTCGGCCTGCTGTGCTCACCTCCCCCTAAAGCCGGGAGATAACTGTCAATCATGAGATGACTGTGGCACCAGCATAGGGACCCTTGGTGGTTATCACGTGACTTGTGCCCAGGGCAACATGCTGGTGTTAATGGCGAACTAAGAAATTGACAAGACTTGCTAAAGTCAGTTTTTGCAACCCTGATGCTACAGTTTTACAGTATGATGCCTCACTGGGAACTTCTGAGACTTTTCATCACCACCAACCTAAGAGCATCTTCCGTGGGGAGTTGGGGCATCTCAAGAAGCTGAAGTCTCTGAACATCCTACAGCCTAGTATCTACTGGTACATCAGCTGAGAATATATCCTTTGAGCTTATAGGAGTGATGTGTAACTTCTACGAGAGTCAGTTCAGAAGGTACATTTTTGCCAAGCTTCTGATGACATTCTGCCCATCTCTGGATCAACTGCTGCAGCTACCTGAACGTGATGCTCCAGTTGGTCTGGCCTGAGTCACATGACTACCTGTGTAGCTCTACGTGGCCACATGGTAAAAATGACTATTGGATTCTTTAATAGCATATATTTCCTGAAAAATGCCGAAAAGCTCCTAATAGCGTTCAGTGTGGAGTGGCAATTCCAGGAAAGGAAAAACAGAATGTGTTGTCAGAAGAGGAGATGGATGTTGGGCAGAGAAGAGAAATGGAGATCCATCACAGCAGTGTTCTCCTCTTGTTTCATGTGCAGAAACCTTGCTTTTCCAAATCAGTTTTAAGCTCCTTGTAAGTAAAAACAGAAATCAGTATTTAATCAATAATCATTACATTGTTATTGGGTTGTCAAAAGCAAACATTTATTGGGCACCCACAAAGAACAAGATGCTATGATGCTCAGAGGGATGTTTAAAATCAGATATTGCTTCATAGTTGGGACTCCAGTTTCTTGCAACAAACATACTGTAAATATCTACCATATGCCAAGCATAATACTTACTAATGCTGTGGATACAAAGTTGAATAACATATAATCCCCTTAAAAAGGCTCATCTAGTGGGAGTAAGAGCAGTAATACCACCACTTACTGAGTGTCTACAATGTGCCTACATCCCACATACATTCATCTTAAGTCTTAGCACAGCCTTGCACGGTATGACATATTATTTCAGTATGATTTTACTGAGACTGAGAGAACGCCATCTAAAATCAGACAGTCAAGTTTGGAGGTCAAATAAAGCATTAGAATGCCCAAAAGTCACACTGAAAATATGTAGTAGAGTGGAGAATTCTAGGTGTGAGGCAGCTCAGAGTTGGTTCTGATCATTTATACATGTAGATATTAAAATAGTGGGGGGTGAGGAATAGGAAAAGGAACACCCATTGCAGAAGCACTCTTAGCAGACCCTCTTTTCTGAAGAATTCTAAAAAGCCCTTCAGACCTTAGTGCCTGCCGCCGTCTTTAATTTTACTTTTGAACACATTGTATCCTCAACCCTCTTCTACATGAATTACAAAGCCATTCAACGATTAGAGGAGCTCAGGGCCAGATAAACATAATGTACTATAATTACCTTTTTGGTCATAATTCTTTTTTTCTTTAATGGAGCATACTCTTTGTAGCCACTGAACACTACTGGTTGATTAGGCTCTTAGTATTTAATAAGTTTCAATAGGAAATGAGCAGAATTAGTACAATATCTTGAGTAATGAGCTATTAATGTATTTTTAATGACTAAGATGTTCCGACAAGAAACTTGTTGATTTTTGTCACTATAACATTATTGTAAAAATGATCTGCATGCAGACTGGATGGAGTTTTATTATGTGAAGTGAGGTGATGTTTTAATACATTTAGAGCACTCTGATAGAAGTCAGCTTGATTTAGGAAAGTTGTCATAGAAAGAGGAAGGAGCTTAGGTGATCTGAACTGAATATGAACTGTACTATTTTTATAGTATTCTAACCATAAAAAAAAAAATCCCACTCTGTCTCCTTTTTCCTTGCTTGTTAGTAGCTATTAACCCATTTTACAGATGGGCAAAGTGAAAAGTTTGCCCTTCTTTTTTTCCTCTAAACTAGAAGGATCATTTCTGTTTGACTTTTAGTACAATCATCTAATCAGTTCATTGTTCTGTTTCGTTTTTGTTTTTTCAGTAGAAGAGATTATATAACCTCTCTGGGTCTTGGCTTCTTCATCTGTTGAATGGAGATGATAAAGTGCATGTGTCATAGGATGTTACAAGAATTAAATGGGATAATTCACATAAAGCACCACTGGGTCTTCCCCTCCTTTATTTAGGCCAAATCAATTAATGTCCCTTGCTGAAGGAAATTACTCCTTGGGAAAATGTTGCATTTTGTTAGCCTTTAATATCCTAGTTGGGTTGCGAGCTCCCTGAGGTCAGGGACTATACCTTACAGATTTTCTTTTTCACTCCTTGCATTTAGCACAGGATTAAACACAAAGCAGGTGACCAATAAATGTCTGTCAAAAGACTGCCTGCAAAGTGCCTTTCAGCACGTACGTGCTGTAACTACTTCCAACAGACTTCTCCAGGCCACACAGAGGGTGAATTTATACCTGGGGTTGCCTGCTCCTGTTTGTACAATCAGGGCCTCAGAATCTCAGCGGTCAAGTTAAGAAACATGAAATTGGCTCATTTGATGATCAATCACTGTGACATCAGAACTTCTCAATTCCACTGAAGTAATGAATTTAGCTGTAATGAATACCCTCTTTCCAGCAAGCTATTGCTGCAAATGCTTCCTAGAGGTAACTTTGAATAATAATACTATGTGAAGTTGACCCAAGAAGAGAAGGATGGAAGAACCCAAAAGTCTAGTATATCGGTGTGCAGCGTTTTATTGTAGATGGTGGGTTTTGGTATCTAACTGGATTGGGACATTTCAGATAGGGAACAATAAGGAAAGGAAAGAATACTTGCCAGCTAACAGAACATTGATGACGCTGGTGATGGTGATGACAGTCACTGCTGTTAGAGCAATGACTGCACTCAGGTACTATACCAAACACTTTACATACACTGATTTAGTTCATCTTCACAACACTAAGAGGTAAGTGCTATTGTCCCTATTTTACAGATAAAAGAAGAAGTGAATTCCACAACATAGTCATATGGCCCATATCCAGTGGAGGCAAATTTTTAACCCAATTGTAATGACTTAAAAACAGTATATTAAACCAGTTTTCTAGCTCAGCCATTAACTTCTCCCTTCTTCTAATGCAAACAATAAATCAAATAGCAATTTAACTTGAAAACAAATTACTACTATATGTTTAGGGAATAAGAGAAACCATGTTGAATGGAGAGATTTATTTAGCAATGTAATAGTAACAATTGCCAGGCACTTACCACAAGCTAACTCTGGGCCACTTTGTACTGAGACATTGTAGTTATTATCTCTCATCCATAACTCTGCAAAGATGTAATATAGATGTTTTATAGATGAGGAAACTAAAGCTCACGTCACTAAAATAAACTCCCCCAGTTCCCTGAGGTGGTAAATGGCAGGTCTTTTCCCTCTTAACCTTCTTGAGGCAGTATTATACCAGGAAAGTCCTTTGATACATAGAAAAATAACTGGGGACAAGCTAAGGAAAAGACGAAATAATTCAGCTTTCTTTTCAATTTCTGAGGCTCCGGAGGGTTTGGGGTTTGTGTTTGTTTTTGTTTTTAAGGAATTATTCAAAAGTGTCTCTCACATGTTTGGGATGTGGCTAAGGAAGGCTAAGCCATGCTTGTTCCCTGAGAATGTCCTTCCCTGTGTATCTGTGTGTAACATCAGGCTGTGTTTAGTCCATATGTTTCCGATTCACTTCCCCAAACTTACCACCATGTTTCATAAGGCCCATTTAAAGTCTACGATTTTTGGACTTGCTCTGAACTACTTCTCTTTAAAGCAGGAAATTACATTTCCCATGAGGGCATCAGACTTGGCCCGCAGAGGGAAAAGCATGCACTCCAAGCTCCAAGGTGCATGAGGTTTCCAAGCCTGGCTTCAGTCTGCTTCTTCACCCCTCTCCTGGAAGCCACAGTCCAGTAACACTTCACTCACTGCCAAGGATCAGAATCTTTTTCATCTCCCTTTTCCTCCAGTACTCTGTTCAAAATTCAGTATAGTGTTGGAATCTAATATTTTTCTCCCTGAGTTATTTTTAAGTGCATTGAAATTTATTGCAAGGACAATAGAAATGCTTTTTTAAAGATAAAACACACACTGATTTTTAAGTTTTTTTCCCCAAGTTTCCTTCCACTTCTTTTTCACATGTATTCACAAATTCTTACAAAGCTCTAATCAAAGTAGAGATGTGATTTTTATATCGTGAAAATTTCACTTAATTATGTTTCTTACTTGGTACTTAACCTTAACTCTATTTTTAATGTCTGCACAATATTCCATTAAGTTGATGCTCCATGATACAAATTCAGAATTTTTAGATTCTTTCAAATAGTTTGAAACATGCATAAAATGTTAATACATTCAGACTTCCATTTCACTGTGGCAGATTAAACTCCTAACAGACTGACCATCCTGCAAATAACAAGTATAAACTCTGGAGAACATGTTTAAAAACAACTATCAGAAGCTTCCTGAAGGTGAACAAAAGCAGGCATATTTGAAGGAAAATCAAATCTTGGAAGAAGGGAGAGAGAGAGATTCCAGTTTTTATAGTTTTAGCCTCAGGTGAGACCCAAGTAGCAGGACAGCATGAAGCAGCTAAAACTCCAAAGAAAACTCACCATCTTTCTAACCTGAAGAACTAGAGGACAGAGATTAGGTAAAAACAGTTACTGGACAGCAGTAAAGAGACAAAAACTCAGAGAAGAGAGGACCAGAGAAGGAGTGCCCCAGATTCTACATAAAAACTCTCCCCTACTGTCTGGCTAACTCAGACATCATGCATGAGCGAAGCAGACACACATCATCTTGCAGCTAACACTGAGCCAAGATCTGAGTTGTCACTCATCACAGACAAAGATATGCAGTTTCAGTCTGACCAAGTTAATTTCCTGCTGAAACAAAGACATCTGTACTCTTTTAGGGAATGTAACAGAATCTAGAGTCATCACAATGTAGCATTTGTAACACCCAGGATATAATTCAAAATTCCTCAGCAAATGAATGAAGAAAACGTGAATCATTCTCTAAGGATGATCAGACTCCAAGATAACCCAGGTGTTGGAATTATACATGGGCCATAAAGCAGCTGTTACAACCATGCTCAATGAGAAAACAGAAAATACGAATAATGAATAAAAAATAGGAAGTCTAAGCAGATAAAAGGAAAATATTTTTAAACCTAAATGAAAATCTAGAATTGAAAAAATGTAATATCTGAATTTTTTTAAAGCCATTGGATGGGTTTAATAGCAGAATGAAGTCGACAGAAAAGCACTGATAAACTTAAAACAGGGGAAAAGAAATTATGTAATCTAAGAAAAGACAAAAAGAAGATTTAAAAAAAATGACCAAGGCCTCGGAAAACTATGGGATAAGATCAAAAGATCTAACATATGTGCAATTCGATTCCCAAGAGGAAATGGTGGGAAAATGGAATAGCAACAAAATATGTGAAAAAATAATAACTGAAAACTTTCTAAATTATGTTGAAAGACATAAATTTATAGATTCCAAATACCCAGCAAAACTCAAACAGAAGGGGGAAAATGCTTTAAAAAATATAGTTAAGTTGCTGGAAAATAAATATAAAGAGAAAATCTTTAAGGAAGCCAGAGAAAAACAGCACATTACATGCAAGGGACCAATGACTCAAATGACCATGAACTTCTTATCAGAAATCATGGTGGTCAGAAGAGAGGGGAGCAGCAGCTTTAAAATGCTGCAGGGAAAAAGGTCAATCCATATTGTTATATCCAGGAACATGATTCCACATCCAACCTCTTCAAAAACGAGGCTAAAGTGAAATTTTCAGTTAAAAGGAAACTAAGACAGTGTATTGCCAGAGCACTTGTATTACAAGAAATGGCAAAGAAGTTTCATCAAGCTTAAAGCAGATGATACCAGAGGAAAATTCAAAACTTCAGGGAGGAATCAACAATATCAGATATGGTAAATATATGGATAAATGTCAAAGCTATTTTTGCACTTCATTTCTTTAATACGTAAGACAGTTTAATGAAAATTATAACATTGTCTTGCAGGGTTTATAACATAAACACACTACATGTGACAACTACAGTATAAAAGATGGCGGGTTGTGGGGAAGTAAATAGAATCCCAAGTATTCTACATCTTATGTGCTTAAGTAGAGTATTGACTCTAATCGAACTCTGAAAGCTGAAATTTTCATATTGTGGTCCCTCAGAATAGCCACTAAAAATATAATGCAAAGAGGTGTAGCTAAAAAGCCTATAGAGAAGAGATAATTCTAAAATTAATCCAAAAGAAGAAAAGAAAAATAAAAAAACAGAAGGGAAAACAGAAATCAAATATTGAAATGATAGATTTGAATCCAACTGTGTCAGTAATTATGTTAGAGCTAATAGGCTACTGGTGTAAGATGTTACTAATAGGGAAAACTAGGTATTCAGTTTATGGGAACTCTGGGTTATCTTCGCAGTTCTTCTGTAATTCCAAAAAATAAAATATAAATTTTATGTTTTAAAATGTGGTGAACTAAACACTCCAACTAAATTATCCAAATGGATATAAAAGCAAGACTAGACTATATGTTAGATGCAACTCACACTTTAAAATGCACATCCATGGAGTGAATCCCCATACTGTGCATGTAAGCATAAGAAGGCTGAGGTGGCTATGTTACATTAAGATTAAACATATCTTGAGACCAAAAAAAGTGATGCCAGAGACAAATAGGGGCATCTCAAAATAACAAAGGGTCAATTCATCAGAAATGCATGTAATCATAAATAGGTAAATGCCTAATAGAAAAACTTCAAAAGACATGAAAATTAACAGAATCAAAAGAATACATAGACAAATCAGTAATCACGATAGAAAATTTTATCTCCATTCTTTCACTAATTGATAGAACTAATTGGGTGCTTTGATGGAGGCACCCAAGTACCAGTAGCTTAAACAACAAAAAAAATCTACTTACATTTCTTCTCCTGTCTTGTTGCTCCCTTATCCCCAGGAGACACCTTTACCCCCATGGCCCATGTGGGCTCACCGCACATCCTCACTCTCTCAGAGTCGGAAGAGGAAGTGGGAGGGAGCGTGTATTTTCTCTTTAAGAGCATGTCTAGAAGAAGTTGCACCCATGTCTCTGCTCACATCTCATTGGTCAGAATTTAGTCACGTGGCCACCTCCAGCTGCAAAAGATGGAAAATAAAGTCTTAATCCCCTGTAGCCAAACACCCAAGCTATAAATCAGAAGTTCTGTTGCTCCAGATGAGGAGAGAAGGAATATCAGTCTATGACTGGAAGGCTCAAACACACCCCGTTCTCATGATGTCCTTTTTTTTTTTTTTGACTATTACAAAAGTTTATTTAACAAAAAGAGTTCAGTAAGAAAATGTACACGACCCAATTTTTATCGTAGTAAAATGTGGAGGGGGACATATGGAAGCAGTTGATTCTTGTGTGAACACAGTCATTGTGCATACTAGTCCAAGGCTTCTAACACGATGAGACTGTTTCCTCGTATTACCACCATTCCAATGTTGTTCTGTTGCCCGCTAATTGCCATCTCCCCACATTCATCTATCACAAGATTCCTAAAGAGGTCAAATCCCCACAGTATTCCTTGGACACGTGATGTCTTTACTTGTAGAAGGAAGGAGTTCTTTAAACTAGCAGAACAATAAGTTGTCTTGTCACGTGTTCATAAGGCTTAAAGCCCAAGATACTTTAGGGGATCACCTGGTGCACCTCGCACCCAAGGTTCGAAAGGCAGACCTGCATTCTACAGGCCATCTCAAAGCCCTTGGGAGCTCGTGGTTTGCTTGCTTAGTCTCACCTCCTCGGCATCTAAAACGGTACCTGACATATAATAGAGACTCAATAAAATTTTTTGAGTAAGTGTACACATGTTTCACAATTCTATTTCCTCACTGTTTGGGAATTTCTGGATCTGTTCCATTAAAAACATGAGTTAGAAATCATTTGGGGCCCCATTTGACAAGGAATGTTAGGAATCTTCCGAAGCAATTTTAGGAAGAGCTTTTATGAAAAGGGGCAGAGTGACAAGGAAGCATCGTTAATCTTCTAGTCAGAATGGACTTCATGTAAAACCCTGAGCACGCTTGGCCCTCCTGCTGCACAAGTCTCTGTGCTGTGACTTCAAGACCTCTCCTCCAAGAATGTCTCCCCCATCGGCCTATGCGGAGGCCTGAAATTCCACCACTAATCATTCCTTAGGGTTAACTGAAGCCCCCCTGTGCATCCGTTACGTGGGAGGGCACTGTGACCCATCACATCACTGTTGGTTAACAACACCTTCTAGAAGACGATTCCATCAGACTGTAGCAAGCAGAGGCCCAAAACACAGGAACAATGAGAGGCCAGTTTCTATTTTAATTGCCGAGAGGAGACCATACCGTAGGGAGCTGCCGAATAGGGCAGGCCAGAGCACGGGGAGAAGGTGAACAGAAACAGCCCAGCCCAGCCAAGAGGCAGCCTAAGGACAGTGGGCACAAGGAGGGTGGGGATGGAGGATGGAGACAAGAGACCCAGGCTCACAGCTACAACCCCCCTCACTTCCCAGATGGTAGAGGAGCTAGAGAAATATTTGTTAAAGAGATCAGTGGTGTGCGATGTTTTATTTAATTAATTTATTTAACAAATGTTTGTATCATGCTTCCTATGTGCCAGGCACCATTCTAAGTGCTTAACAAATACTGAATTTAACCAGCACAATGGCCTTATCAAAAGCCGGAGTCCGAGAGCCAACTCCACCCATTTCTGGCTGTGTGAACTTGAGCCGGTGAGCCGTGCTCTCTGAGGCTCATTTTTACCCTCTGTAAAAGGGGTACCCAGTGATTGACCCTCAGAGTCATTGCAAAGAACTCTCTAGCTAAGAGCCATAAAGGCACTTTATAAACCATGAAATGTTTTGCAAATCATAATTAATATTATAAGTAGGCCTAGGACTGGCTCAAAAGCGACTAATAACAGCCAAAAAAAAAAATCATCCTCATGATAATTATGATTGTTATCATCCTTTATGTACCTTATGGACTCTGGAATTGGATGACTTTGTTCGCAAAGTCCCCAGTCTGCTAGCTGTGTGACTTTAGGCAAGCTGCTTTATCTCTCAGTGATTCTGTGTCCTCCTCTATAAAACAAGAGCTAACAGTAGTCTGTACTTCATAGTGTTGCTGTGAAAACTTTAAAAAAGATGATAAAAAAAAAATAAAAGGCACCCAGGACAACCACCTGGAGTAAATGCCCCGTAAATGGCATATACCGCTGCTACGTTACTAGTCACAACAGTGCAAAGAAGGTATTACTGGTGTTCTTGTCCTTATTTTCCAGAGGAGAAAGTGGAGGGACAGCGAGGTTGGATCACTTGCCCAGCGCCACATACCTAGGGAGTGATGAATCCAGGGGTTCCTAGGCAGGTCTGTCTGATCTGGGCATTTCTGCGGTTACCTAAGAAAATGTTCTCACTGTCCAGGATGACACGCCAGAACACTTAAGGGAATTCTTGAGCAAAAGAAAAAAGAATTAGAAAATTTAAAAGGAAAGACAGATGACAAGGACCTGACTTTTCTTTGCATGCTAACTTGTCACAAAAAGGAAACACAAACCTTGAAACACAAATGCTGGTGGCTGGAGAGGCTCCCAGAAAGGATCTGCTCCTACCTCCTGCCCATGTAGGCATGGCCCAGCCTGACGGATCATGAACCAAGGTCATCCCCTCCCTCCCCTGGGCCATGACGCAAACTTTGCAATTAGATAGGATGGCGTTCCAGCCAATGGGGAGTGAGCAGAAGGGCTCTGTCTCCCCCTCAGGCTTGGCGTGTGATCACCTCTTCCCCTACTGACTGCTCCATGCCATTAGGTATGATGACCTAAAAAGCCATATACAGTATTCCCCCCTTATACTTTCAAGACCCACAGTGGATGTCTGAAACATAGATAGCAACCCTACATATACTGTTTTTCATATATATATACACACACCAATGATAAAGTTTAATTTATGAATTAGACACAGTAAGAAATTAATGACAATGACTAATAACAGAACAATTATAACATACACTGTAATAAAATTATGTGAATATAGTCTCTCCATTTCTCCCTCTAAATATCTTATCATAAAAATTTAATGTTTTCCAGCTTAACTAAGCACCACGGCCATAACAATTTGCAATTTGAAATGCAACAGCAAACTAGCATGAATTTCTTTTTCCTTCTTCACAGTTTCACAGATAGAAAATTTATTCTTAGCATGAATGTTAGGAACCTATGATTTTTTTTCTTTCCTTATTAAATAGAGAACTTTCACTTTTTCACTTAAAGGAAGCACTTTATAGCTTCTCTTCAGCAGATCCAAATGGCCAACATCACTACTCTTGTGCTTTGAGGCCATTATTAAGTAAAATAATGGTTACTTGACACAGTCAGTCTTATAGCTGAGTTGGCTACTAAGTGACTAACAGGCAGGATACGCTGGACAAAGGGATGAAACACATCCCACATGAGATGAAGCCAAATAGCATGAGATTTCATCACACTACTCAGAGCAACGTGCAAGTTAAAACTTACAAATGTTTATTTCTGGAATTTTCCATGTAATATTTTCAGGCCACAGTTGACCATGGGTATCTGAAACCACAGAAAGTAAAACCGTGTATCAGGGGAGAACTACTGTATTGAAGATGACTGAAACCACAAGATGTTAAAGCCCTGAGTCCCTGAACCACCCCCTGGAGAAGTGCTGCCTACCCAACAAAAGCCACCCAGCTGAGACTTGACATAATCAAAAAGAACTCATTCTGATGGTTGAACCATTACATAGTTTGGGTCTGTTTGTCCCAGCAGCTAGCATAACTAACCAATGCAGGAAGGACCAGAAAGGAGAGCTTCCTAGCATCTTTGACTACTGGCCATTCAACCTCTGCCTAAATCCTTCCAGTGGTGAGGAACTGATTCCCTCCGGAAGTACTCATTCACGCTTCATTCGGTCAACTAATGTGCATTTGTTTTGTTTCGTATGTTTGTTTTTTATTGAGGTATAGTTGATGTACAATGTATATACATTTCAAGTATACATTATAGTGACTCACAACGTTTAAAAGTTATAGCTCCATTTATAGCTAATATAAAATGTTGGCTGTATTCCTTGTGTTGTACAATATATCCCCGTAACTTATTTATTTTATACATAGTAGTTTGTAATTCTCAGTCCCCTATCCCTGTCTTGCCCCTCCCCTTTCCATCTCCCCACTGGTAACCACTAGTTCTCTATATCTGTGAGTCTGTGTTTTATGATATGTTTACTAGTTTGCTTTTATTTTTCAGACTCCACATATAAGTGATATCATACAGTGTTTGTCTTTGTCTGACTTATTTCACTTAGCATAATACCCTCCAGATTCATCCATGTTGATGCACAAAATTTCATTCTTTTTAATGGCTGAGTAGTATATATGTTTGTGTGTGTGTGTGTGTGTATACCACATCTTCTTGATCCGTTCGTCTGTTGATGGGCGCTTAGGTTGCCTCAGTGTCTTGGCATTTGTAAGTAATGCTGCTATGAACCTTGGGGTGCGTGTAGATTGTTCAAATTAGTGTTTTTATTTTTTCAGATATCCCAGGAGTGGAATTAGTGGATCATATGGTAGTTCTATTTTCAGTTTTTTGAGAAACCCCC